CACGCACACACACACACAGACAGCCTCTCGACAATATGCGTTTTTGCTGGCTGTAGCAGCGCTATATTTTTATGCGTTTTTGCTGTGCAGCGCTATAGCGCTGCTATAGCGCTGCACAGCAAAAACGCATAAAAATAGGTCGAGTTGCGCGAAACCCACTTAATGTGCCGAAAATTATGCTAAAAAATATAGCCGAATGGCATAAAACATGCCCGAAAATGAGTTAGGCTTAGTTGACTAGGATTCGTTACATTGTCAAAAGTCAAAAATTCTCCACGTGGTAGAATGTATAACATCAGTCTTCTAACAAAAACTCAAGACTCCGGCTCTGGAGCACTGCTTAGAAATAAGCTTATAGTTTGCTTGATTCCCTGATGTATACACACACCACATCTAAAAGAATGAACGAGCGACAGTGGGATTAAAAGCCCCAGTAGGGGTCTGGATCACTCCGATTATGTTATTAATAACGAGCTGACGCTAAAAAGATATAGTAAATTTTAAAGCACTGCATTTAAACAAAGCAAAGGCGTCACTTTATCACTCAGCTACTATATCTACGAACTAGCTCTTTCACTGCTTTCGTTTTGTGTATAGCTACCGATGAACTGTTTATTTCAGATCACTGACCATTCCGGCACCGCTTCTTCCGGTGCTGCCGATTTTTTGACATCGCAAACAGCTGCTGAATTCCTGCCGAGTGATGATGGTTCCACAAACTGTGCCCCAATCAGTTGAAATTTTAAGTATTTGCCATCCTGACCACTGCCACCGTCGAACTGTAGCAAAGCCGGAATGTATTGTTTCAACGTATAATGCCAGCGCCAGTTACTGATAATGCTAAGAAGTAGGGCTAGAGTTAGTAAGCTCTCATTTTCTCTGCTACACCAAATGTAGTAGCGAGTTTGAAATATCAAAAACTAAAAAATAAGGTAATTTTCGCAAAACAGTGAAGCAAAGAATATTATCGCTGGCAGACAATTATCACCTTTCATGTCCGACAGATTCGTGGCGGAATCCACCAATTGCTTCCTTTTTCAGTGAAATTATCTTCATTGTTTAGTGGTAGGGGCAAATAAAATCCGCAGGGAAAGGGAATGCTGCTTATTTCACCAGACAAGGATTAAGGAATGCACGCTGATGAGCTAACGATATGCAGAAAATATGAAGCTTTCAAGCTAGCTAGCAGAAGGAAAATGCTCAGACATAGTAGGTACGGAACATTTTCGTCTACTAGAAATACAGTCGGCATATTACCCCATCTCATTACGAAATAAAAAATCAAGCTATAGTTTGCAGAATCTTAGTTAATACAAGAGTACCAAGACCACTTGAGCCATCCGTGTGTATTCCATGTTCACGATGATAATGGGATGCTCCTCTGCGCCAAGCGCAAGTATGCCAGGCTCATCCATCCTGATATTTTCGATTACTGCGCACTGCTTGTTCCTTGTATATGTGTACCTCTTTACTAGGTATTGATAAACATTAAAAATAAAAATTATATATGTTAAATGAAAATATTATAATGCCAATCTTTCGGGGAGAACCGAGAATCAATGCATGCATTTCCGTAAACTGATCGAGCCATGAAACTGCAGTAAGTTGCAGCACATCACTAGCGCGCTATTGAGCTATCCGCTTGGTGTTAACGGTATTTTCACAGCAAGCTATACCTGGGAAAAGAGTCGATGATCATGTAACAGGAATGGCAAGTCGACGATGTGGATTAGTGAGTGATACCGCGGAGTGTCAAAGGAAAACAGAAAAGATCGCACTTTGGTAGATGAGCCCACCTGGACGCTTACAAAGAATGGAATTATTTGGGTGAGAAAAGCCAAAGATGGCGAAGAATGCTCTAAGCGAAAACCTGTAAGGCATGAATGCGCATTTGTTGTGACGATAGCCGGTATGGCAAAGTGAACTCATAATATTGTTATCCGTGGCGAAATAGCTCCTTAAAAGTCTCGACAGCTCCATGAAAAAAAACATTGACCTAAACAATCTTTTGTATGGATAGAAGTCTGTTTTTTTTTCAGTCATCTAGATAGCAATGTACACAGCTTTACTGTACCATCATGTATTTTTGCTTGATTCCATCACATAGGGAGACGGCTCGTATTACTAGACCTATTTGACAAGTGGTAAAACGGATTTCACGTCACACACTTAAACCGCTTTTTTGCTGGTCGCGCTTTTTGCATACTAAACAAAAAATATAACGCAAGAACACAGCGAAGCCCTTTAATCTCGCTTCTTCATTTCCTTCGCTTCAGTGAAGACAGTTTCCAAAATCTCAATTAAACCTTGGTTCGGCTTTTACAAAATAGTTGCCACCAGCAATCATTTCTGCCAAGAAACCATCGCTGCCTTCGCGATCAAACAGCAAATTCACGTTTGATTTTAAAACTTGATCCATATCTAAATCTGCTCCACTTTTCTGAAGTTACAAAAGTAAGTCATTAGATGAAGCGCATATAATTGCGACAAGAAACCCAGGCTGGAACGCACCAGGCGGGCCGGCGCGATTATGCGTTTTTGCACTTTTTGTGCCGTAGCAAGACCGCAAGGAATCACAGTAGCTAACCCTGTGACATACTGACCCTCCAAGTTGGGAAGTTAATTGTGCAACTATGTGGTATGTCAGTTGTAGACGTCGGTTTCAGTGACCCGTTAAATGGAAAGATGCTGGTTAACAAAAAAAGCCATACTAGAAGAGTTAAATTTGAAATCTTTTAGTTGCACATAAGTAGGGAATATTCCCCTAAAATTAAATCCTTCAGCTTATCTCGTTCCCGAATTAACAGTTTTCTCACCAAAATTTTCACGTGCCCCTACGTGATAACGAGACGGTTTTAAGGGGATGAATTTAAAATCTTTTGGTCATACATGAGTGGGGGACGTTTCAGCTTTCTAACTTTTTTTGTTCCCGAGTTAATGATTTCCGCGCCAAAATTTCCACGTGCCTGTACGTGGACCCCGTGCGCTTCTAAACACCTGATTTTGGTTAGACATGAATAAGAAAAATTCCCCGAAAGTTTCAGCTTCCTAGCTTTTCCCGTTCCCGGGTTAGTAATTTTCGCGCCAAAATTTCCACGCGCTCGTATATGGGCTCGGGTCCTTCTAAACACCCGACTTTGCTCGTACGTGAGTAGGGAACATTCCTTTAAAGTTTCAGCTTTCCAGTCCCGGGTTAGTAA